ATGGGAGAGCCCAGACACCCTGCGGAGAAAACTCATTTCGGCCGCTTGTATCTGAGATCTCATTCTATCGGTCACAACCCAAAGCTCGTGACCATAGATGAGGGTGGGAACGTAGATCGATCGGTAAATTGAGAGCTTCGCCTTTTGACTCAGCTCTCTCTTCACCACGACCGACCTGTACAGCGCCCGCTTCACTGCAGACGCTGCACCTATCCGCCTATCGATCTCTCGCTCCATTTTTCCCTCATTCGTGAACAAGACCCCAAGATACTTGAACTCCTCCACTTGGGGCAGGATCTCCTCTCTGACTTGGAGAGGGCACTCTACCCTTTTCTGGCTCAAGTCCATGAACTCGGATTTGGAAGAACTGATCTTCATCCCAGCTGTGTCGCATTCGGCTGCGAACCGCTCCAGCGAAAGCTGTAGATCACGACCTGATGAAGCCAATAGGACCACATCATCTGCAAAAAGCAGAGACGTGATCCTAAGGCCACCAAAATGGATCCCCTCAACACCTTGGCTGCGCCTAGAAATTCTGTCCATAAAAGTTGTGAACAGAATCGGTGACAAAGGGCAAACTTGGCTGAGTCCAACTCTCACCGGGAACGAGCCCGACTTACTGCAGGCGATGTGGACCAGGCTCTGACACCAGTCATACAGGGACCTAACAGCCCGTATCAAAGGGTCTGGTACCATTTACTCCCAGAATACCCCCCACAGGGTTCCCCGAGAGATGCGGTCGAATGCCTTTTCCAAGTCTACAAAGCACATGTAGACCGGTTGGGCAAACTCCCACGCACCCTCCAGGACCCTGCTGAGGGTGTAGAGCTGGTCCAGTGTTCGACGACCAGGATGAAAACCGCACTGCTCCTCCTGAATCCGAGGAATTTTTTGAAATGTCAAATTTGAAAATTCAAAATTAAAATGGGCAGCACGGTGACGCAACTGGTAGAGTTTCTGCCCCCAGCGAGCAGGTCCTGGTTCAAATCCCGGTCTGGGGGCCTTTCTGGGTGGAGTTTGCATGTTTTCTCCGTGCATGCTTGGGTTTTCTTCGGGTCCTCGGGTTTCCTCCCACAGATCAAAAACATGCATGTTAGGCTGATTGGTAACTCTAAATTGTCCCTAGGTGTGAGTGAGAGAGTGAATGGTTGTTTGTCTCATTTGTCTCTGTGTCTCTGTGAAGGACTGGAGACCTGTCCAGGGTGTACCCCGCCCCTCGCACAGTGATTGCTGGACATGGGCACCAGCGACCCTCGTGACCCAAAATGGAAGAAGCGGGTAAAAGAAAATGGATGGATGGAAATGTTACACTTTATTTTATTTATCATTTTTAATTAATTTACAAACTGAGCAGTCTTGGAGAAGAAAATGAAAATGCAGTTTGGATTATATTATTTTATTTA